TATATATACTTTAAAATTCTCCTTTTTGAATAATATTGGTGCAATTTAAGTTTATTTATTTATTAGTCAATTTATATATTTCCGCTTTTATTTTTAATTATGTCAGTTTCGGTCCTCCATACTGCAGAAGCCTGATAATCACCCATTCATTCAAATCAGGTGTGTTTGAGCAGAGAAAAATAAACAACACATGGGGGCGCTGTGGTTTTGTTCTGAGATCAAAAAATCTCCTTCAGCATCAAGAACAGAGTTTGACTTTGGTTTCAGCACATTTTTTCCAAATCCTCCTTTGTTCACCTGTTTCTGTGAAACTCTTTCTGAGCTTCTCTGGTGTTGCCGGAATATATTTATTTTATTGTTGTTTATTCTCTGATGCAAAAAGACCCAAAGTAAATAAACAAAACACTAAGTGAATTAATAAGAAACTAAACAGAAAAGTCTGCTAGATGAAATCCTAAACGTACCTTCTGCAGCATGGAGGGCATCTTGGAGTCATTTTATTGTTTTTACTGGTACACGTCTAGGTATATTTTTAATCTGGGTCAGTTTGAGTTTTTTATAAATATAATTTTCTTTTATTCTTTTTTGAATTTTTTTATTACAAAGCGCCGGCAGACAACCGGAAAAGACAGACCTGAAGAAATAATAGAGGGTGGCGTGGGGAGTAGTCCTTCGTGCAGCCCTTACCCATTGGTTGCCTCAGACACAGCAGCTCTCCCTGCTCTCACGCTCACATAAATGCGCTCCCACCGCCGACCGTGGCAGATAATCACAGCCCACTGCGAGGGGGACACACCTTCCGCTCATATTTTTTAAATTATTATTATTATTTTTTACCTCGGTTCGCACGGGGGATGCATTTTGATTTACAAAAACCTTCGACAGATTCGGGTAGCGTTTCTTTGGTTATTTTTGCGCACATCGGTTTCCAGGCTGCTCCGCTCCCGCGCCAAGATGACCGGGGTCTTTGAGAACTTAAATACTGATATGCATTCGAACCAGATTACCTCAAACAGTTACCACAGCTTGCACAAACCGCAGGAGTCCCCGACCCTGCCTGTGTCCACGGCGACGGACAGCAGCTTTTACAACAGCCAGCAGTCCGGGCACTGCGCCGGCTCTCCGTTTGGCCAGCTCGGCTCTTACCAGTACCACGGCAGCGCCAGCAGCTCTGTGCCATACAACGCAAAGTCCTACGACCTGGGCTTCAACTCTTCATATGGTGCATACAGCTCCTATGGGTCCAACTCTTCTCCGACTCCAGCCGACACAGGTAATGATTTATACCAACTAACGCATTTAAACCGATTTTACGCATTTATTTATGATCAAACTCGTGGTGTAAAACAAATAACTTATYGCATAATTTTATAATATTTGGCAAGGCAGTTATTCCCTATTCAGAAATTAGTGCATATATTCTTCCATTGTGCGTAAAAGTGCAAAGCACAGGTGTTTTGTTGTTTTATTTTATTTTGATTTTATAGTTTTTGTTCAACTAACATGTCAAATTCTGACTATGTTGCCTGCTATCAAAGTATTTTTAAAATCTAATCAAGTTGCATTACTTATAACGTGCACACCAACTTTGTGCGTAAAAGTTGTGCAACAGTGGAAAAAAAATGTAAAAAGCTTTACTCTAATTGCATTTGACTCTTCCCTCAGAAAAAGAAGAGAGCGAGCCAGAAATCCGGATGGTGAATGGAAAACCAAAGAAGGTCAGGAAACCTCGAACCATTTATTCCAGCTTCCAACTGGCTGCACTTCAGCGGAGGTTTCAAAAGACGCAGTATTTGGCGCTACCTGAACGGGCCGAGCTGGCAGCCTCTCTGGGCCTTACGCAAACACAGGTGGGTACATCTAAGACTGCTGTCAAATATCAACTTTCTGACTTACACTGACGCATGAAAAAAAAAGTGAGACGGAGGAAATCAATTTTATATCTGTGTTTGGTTCAGGTCAAGATCTGGTTCCAAAACCGCCGGTCCAAGTTCAAAAAGCTGTGGAAAAGTGGAGAAATCCCCCCTGAGCAGCACGTTACTTCCAGCGAATCTCCTCCGTGCGCGTCTCCGCCAACCCCCGCCTGGGACTTTCCACAGACTCAAAGAATGAACCCTGTCAGCTCRAGTTTACCTCAGAGCGCCAGCCCCTCCAACACGAGCGCGCCGTCGTCGTTTTTGGCAAACTACTCCTGGTACTCAACAACGAACTCTACGACGCATCTGCAGCCTYCTCTGGTTCAGCACCACCACAACTCGGCCATAAGCGCTGGGACGATATTCTGAAAGGAAAACGAAACAACTGGGTCTAAATTGGACGAGAACAAATAGAGTCCACCTTCATTTTACAGACCTAACCGTGTGCGCCTTTGCGCGCAAAGACTAGGAGAAATTAAAGGAACAAAACAGGTTCGTGAAACTTGCTGGTTTTCACGCAGGCAAGAGATAGACGCAGATTTCTACAGTTATTTTTGTATTTATTTATTTTGTTTATGTGAGGGTTGAATGAACCACTATTACCCAAAGCAATTACAGCCTGGGCGCATATCTAAGCCCGTTTTTTTACGCGGACGTCACTTTTTTTGCCATTCCAGCAAAACAAAACATTGACTTCAGGATAACCAGATGTAGCACAAGTTAACTGTATCGTGCCTTTTTCAACATGACCTCATTTTGTTGTGCGTAAACACACACACACACACACACACACACACACACACACACACACACACACACACACACACACACACACACACACACACACACACACACACACACACACACACACACACACACACACACACACACAAACTTATCTTAATTCTTTCCTCATATAGTTGATTCAAATATATCGAAAGGAGAAGTGTCCACGTTGTAAATATTTTACTACAGCTTTTTTGATAGCCCATGTTGCTCTGATTTTTTTTCTTTCTTTTTAAAGGCTGTTGGTGCAAATCCATTAACCACCGTACAAGCTACTGATTGTCCTACCCTCTGATTTACTTGTGTATTCCATTTTATTGTATTTTTGTCTTATTTATTTTAGCAGTGTTCCATATGGTCAGACTTTATTTAAATAAAATGTTTTCTGTGAATGTGATTTTGTCATTTTATTTTGTTGTCATAATTTACAGATGAGTTTAATTGATTTAGCCTTCCTGCACTAATTAAACAATTTAGCTTTGCAATACAAACGTTTTAATTGTTCATTATAGGTGCACTTTGGTGAAAAAAATRTATTTTTATTGGAAAATGCTGAACCTTTTAGACATTTTATGCATAAATTTAGTTTACAATTTTTGCCACTTCAGATAAAAAGTTAACAAGATGATAGCCTTATAACCTACCTATTTAATAAAAGCACACTCAAGTGTTTATTTTAAAATGTTCGGGTTTTCGCACTGGTGAAACGTATGTATTTAACACAAATTAACTGCATTTATTTTTACTTTTTAAAATAAAATACTGAAAACCTTAATTAGACAGCTGAACACACACCTGTGGCTACTAACATAATGAACAGATGAGGAAATTGTATGTTGGTATAGGAAACCGTGTTAGACCYAACGCGTAAAATGCGCCAAATACGCACCAGTTTTAAAGAAAAACGTGCAGCAAAATGTATTTTAGAAATTCAATTAAGGTTTCTGAACTGCGTGACATTTAGCCCAGCAGCTCCGAGCTGAGGATGAGGTGGGTATATGAGCACACCATCACACAGACTTCACTGAGTCAGAGAACCACTCCAGGCATTTTATGAACAAGATCCAATCCGGTCCGGAGCTAACCAGACTGTCATCCAAACTCACGAGAAGCCGCTGATGTCTGCAGACCAGCAGGTTGACCCTTAAGTTCCTGTGGTTTAAAAAAAAAAGTAAAATGGCTGCATTTAACATTTTAGGCAATGAAATATTACTAAACTATTATAGAACACAACGTAAACACATTTTATTMAAGTTTATTTAGATTGGCCTATTATGACTCAAGCAGTGGGGCGCATATTGCCTATCACTTAGTGGGAAATTAACATCCACTGCCATCCCCACGTGCTTCGCTTTAAACGACCACAGGCCATAAAGTGAGATCGTTTCCTTGTAATAATTAGGACTGTAGCATGTCAGCGGCTGCTATATCTGCATGACCCCCCCCCCC